TTTTTATTAGACTTTTAATTAGTGATGGATCTGATGTTGGGACTCTTTAAAACTAAATTAAGAAAAATATCTATTAATTTTAAATTAAATAAATATAAATACAATATTATTTATATTATTTTAAACTTTAATAGGACTCTTTAATATAAATCTGTTAAATCATATATATTTTATTTAATTTATTTATTTTTTAATATAAWTTTTTTAGATATATTTTTAAGGGTAATTAAACATTTTTATTAATTTKTARAAATCTTAAWTTTTTATTAATCTTTAGAGAAGCTTAAAAAAGTGTTTCTAAAAATGATGCAACTTTTTAGAGACATTTTTTTTATAAAAAGCTTCTCTAAAACTTTTAACGACATTTCTTACACCGTATAATTAGACTATAAATCTTTATTTAAATGTCGTCCAACCTTTAGTTACATTTCTCATTTTTGTCATTTAAATCTTTTTCTATAATGGAGCTTTAGATACACTTCTAAAAGCTTCTCTGAAGATTTCTTCTCTAAAACTCCTTCTTCTTGTAGTGTTAATCAACCTCTCATAATCACAAAAAAATGAACAAAATGAAAAATTATGATTGGTTGAATGAAGTTTTCACGATTTTTATAAATTGAATGGTTTTTATTTGAACGTTCCCCTATATATATATATATATATATATATATATATATATAAGTGTGGAATAAGATTAATCTTATCCTACTCATCTTCTTGAAAAAGAAAAGAGGCAGCGGTGATGAGAGAGTGTGTGTACTTGAGAGAATTCTGCATAAGTTACCTGGAAAAGATTATGTGATTATTTGAAGTGATTGTTGTGTGATTCATTTTCAAATCTGTGCATATAAGGTGAGTTTTGTTATTAAAATTTTTATATGTTGATATTTGAAAAATTATGAATTTTGGTTGATGATTTATGGAAGAAAAGAAACCGTTTTGACAGATTGATTGAGTATGAGTAAATCTAGGTTTAAAACTGTTTTGATGATATAAAGAAGAGTCTGTTTCTTTCAAAACAGTTGAGATGAGTATTCCATTTTAAAGGAATAAGAATTTTGAGATTTTTTTATGGAACGGTTGTGACTTTGGTCTGTTCTGGTATGAAACTATTTTAGGTCATTATTGGCTAAAACTACAGATGATGTTCTTTCAGGACGCTTGTGATTTCGGTCTGTTCTGTTTGAATTCATCTATGTAGATTTTGATGAAGAAATTAGGATGGCATATCAAGGATAGGTGTATCATGGAATGAGGATAGCATATCAATGAGAGATGTACCTTTGGTTATAATGGTGACATTTGTTTGTGTGTGGTTATTATTATAGTAGCTCTTACTATCATATCCATAAGATCGCGATGATTCTGAGTCAACATTTTTTGTGACTTGAAGACTTGAAAATATTGCTCTTATTGAAATAGTAGCAATGATGCTATTAAGAAGAGGGGAAATGGTTTATGGCCAAACATTTTAATCATCTGTGCCTTTGAGAAATATTTTAAGAAGAGTTATGAGGAACTAGAGGGGCTCTGGTTATTCTTTGAATGAAACCAGAGGGGCTCTGGTTGTTCTTAAACTTGAACCAGAGGATTTTTGGATTGATCTCCAGGATCAACCAGAGGACCTCTTGTTATGATGAAAATTCTTGAATTTTGTTTTCAAACTTTTATTTAGAACCAGAGATCTTGTACTATTCAGAGGCTCTGTATTTGAAATTATTTATTAACTTGTAGAACTATTTTCATACTTCTTTCTCTCATTCAAACTTAAAAACTTTAACATGGAAATCATTTGGTAAAGTAGGACAGAGGAGCTCTGGTTGTATGAGAAAATTTGAAAATGATTGAAGTTGTTTGATAATTTTCATCTCTGGATAGAGGAACCAGGGGGGACTCTGGTTGGTAAGACTAGAAGCTTTGGTCATTGGACCAGAGGGTCTTTATTTATCTTGGTTCTCTATTGTGTAAACTTGATTCTAAGAGAGGGACCAGAAGCTCTGGTCATTGGACCAGAGAGGCTCTGCCCCTTGAGTTTAATAAAAAGCTATCTTTAAGCAATTTTGGTCTTCGGAACTAGAAGGGCGATGTGTAACACCTCATACCACACATTGCATGTAATATATACTTCATACACAAGAAATACATCTTTATACACCATATAGGTCCCTTAGTACAAGAATCTACCAGTACAGAATACATGGTTCAAAAATTCAGAATACAATTCTTGTACTAAATCATGCTTCATTTACAAAACTATACATATCATCAGCAAATCTTCATGCAGATAAACATATAGGGAAAATATTACATTTTTCCCTTCCTCTTACCGTCTGCACTTCCTACAACACATATTTAAAATCACAAAACGAGGGTTAGACCAAAAGGTCTAGTGAGTTACCCTATTTATGTTATTACAGAGTGTAAATCACCAAAACTTTTATGTAAAACAAGTTTTCATATATATAGCAAATATATGAACGAGTAAGAACGTAATATCAATACTTTTCACTTTTCAAGCCAAATTCTCTGCTTGCAAATAATCAAATCCAAACAGGTTATACTAACCAAATTATCATAATGCCACTTTTAAACATCTCAAATCAAATAAGGTTTATTCAAAGTTTCAGGCCTAACATGTTATCTCCTCCTCAATAACATCCAGACTATGATTTCCAATAAGAACCCTGATCCTAAATCTTTAAATCACAATAAAATAAAGATTCAAGATCACGGTAATCTTAAGGGATATAATAGTAAGAGTTATATTACATAACACACATATACAAATGTCACCCTTATATCCAAATGTACATCTCTCCTTGATATGCCACCCTTATCCCATGGTACACCTCTCCTTGATATGCCACCCTTATCCCAGATTCTTCTTTATATCATCAAAACAGTTTTAAACCCAGATTTACTCATACTCAATCAATCTGTCAAAACGGTTTCCTTTCTTCCATAAAATCATCAACCAAAATCATAATTATAGCAAGGTGTACCATGGGATAAGGGTGGCATATCAAGAAGAGGTGTACCATGGGATAAGGGTGACATATCAAGGAGAAGTGTACCTTTGGATATAAAGGTGACATTTGTTTGTGTGTGGTTATTATTATAGCTCTTACTATTATATCCATAAGATCGCGATGGTTCTGAGTCAACATTTCTTTGTGACTTGAAGACTTGGAAATATTGCTCTTATTGAAATAGTAGCAATGATGCTATTAAGAAAGGGAAAAATGGTTTATGGCCAAACATTTTAATTATATGTGCCTTTGAGAAATGTTTTGAGAATAGTTGCGAAGAATCAGAGGGGCTCTGGTTGTTCCTTGCATGGAACCAGATGGGCTCTGTTGTTGTTAAACCCGGACCAGAGGAATTTTGGGTTGATCTCCAGGATCAACCAGAGGACCTCTGGTTATGATGAAAATTATTGACTTTGGTTTTCAAACTTTTATTTAAAACCACAGGGCCTATATGTGCTATGCATAGACTCTGTATTTGAAATTATTTATTAACTTATAAAACTATTTTCATACTTCTTTCTCTCATTCAAACTTAGAAACTTTAACATGGAAATCCTTTGGTAAAGTAGGACATAGGAGCTCTGGATAACACTTAGTTTAACTAGAGGACCTCTGGTTGTATGAGGAAATTTGAAAATGATTTAAGTTGTTTGATAATTCTTCATCTCTGGATAGAGAAACCAGAGGGGCTCTGGTTGGTAAGACCAGAAGCTCTGGTCATTGGGCCAAAGGGTCTTTATTTATCTTGGTTGTCTATTGTGTAAAACCCATGTGCTTGCATTAACGTTTTCGATCCAATTTCAAGTTTCTTTGTTAAGAGATCCATGATCACGTTAATGATATCAAGGCCAAGGGGATGTGGAGTTGCTGAAAAGTGACGAGTTTTACAATGTTGATGGTAGTAGGGTTAGTGCCAGTTTGGATGTCAAGGTGGGAGGTTGGTGAGAGATGGACCAGCCCGGAAAATCGGGGACTCTCGAGGACTCACAGGGAAGGGGAGGGGTTGGTGGTGGAGTTTAATTTAGAAAGGAAGAGGGAAGATAGGCATGTAAATAAGGTGGAGACCCTAATCTTCATCCCCATCCTCATCCCCGATTCCAATCTCCATCCCCATTCTTGCTCCCGTTGGGGAATATGATCGTATCCCCATTCCCGTCCCCAACGGGGAATCAGTGATTATTTCCCGTTTATTTGAGATATTTTAACATGTGCTAATAGTATACTCGATCGATAATCATCCATGTTTAAATCTCACATTTCCAAAAATTTACTTTTATGGATTATCAAATATTCATATGTGAATAAAATCACAATATCATACGTAATTTTTTGATCAAACATTTTCGTCTCTCCATATTTTTTATCTAAAAAAATAAGACAAATCAGAAAAAATGTATTTAAGAAAAAAATCAAAATACTATTTCTAGATCTTCAAAATATTAAATCTAATTTCTTAAATAATATATTTAATAATAGGTATAATGTTATTCAGTAATAAATATATAATATATTCACCATACAGGGAGGGGACCGGGTTCCCAAAGAGAGCGGGTCTCATTTCCATGGGTTTTGCAGGTCTCGGTAATAAATATATAATATATTCAACATAATGTTATTAAATCTAGCCCCGTCCCCATTCCTAATCCTGGGTTTTGCGAAGAATCCTCAATTTTGTTGGGATAGATAAACCGGGTTCCCAAAGAGCGGGTCTTATTTCCGTGCCTAAAGGAGGAGGTTATATATTTTTTATATACTATGATATAATTTTTATTTACTTAAGAAAGAAGATATTTTACAAATATGATTGCAAAATAGAAAATAAATAAAGATTAAGACCAGTTTCTGTAAATTTGCCAAAACATGAGGGACCAAAACCGTAACTTACTCTTGAAGTTTATGGTTGAGCAGGGTAGGTGAGATATCATCTCTTTAAGTACATCACCATCTCTCATCTTCATCACTTGATATGATATGGCGACTAAATCTCAAGCTTCCATCTTCATGGTGTTCACTGCAACACTCTTAGTTGCCATCAATGGTGATCCTCAGGTTCCTTGCTACTTCATATTTGGTGATTCTTTAATGGATAATGGCAACAACAATCATCTTCACACCAATGCAAAAGTCAACTATGAACCATACGGTATAGACTTCCCCGATGGCCCCACCGGTCGGTTTTCCAACGGTCGAAATGTTGCCGATGTCATTGGTCTCTCTCTCTATATATATATATATACACACACATATACCCACATAGGCGAAGGATTGTATGAGAAGGAGATTTAAGGTGAGAAACGTAATAAGGGATCTGCACCTTTGATCACCTTTATTTTCAATCCCATCCATAATGACGTGTGATACGAGAATTAATCTGGTGCATCTCGGTGCATGTCATTCTAACTCCCTTTCTCATCGGAACTCTCACCTTAATTCTCTTTCTCATCGGAACTCAACCATATATACATATATATATATATATATATATATATATAAAGTATATATACTTATGGATGTTTAATTTGTTTTGGTTATGTGTTATCTAACAGCTCAACTCCTTGGGTTCGAGAGCTTCATTCAGCCATTCGCAACTGCAAGAAGCGATGACATCGTAAAAGGGGTAAATTATGCGTCTGGAGGGGCTGGAATTCGAGAAGAATCTGGACAACATCTGGTATGTTTTTTAATCATATGTTATGTAATATCTAATTACTTGTTGCTTAAAACGTGCCATACTAAAGGGTCCATAACCTAATGGTATTTGAGTTAGTAGTAGATATTAAGCAATTGCTAAATAGTTTTGTGGAGAATGGTTAAGTGGTCAGAATGATTAAGAGACTTTCATGATATAGTGTAAAATGAAATATAGTTATTTGGTAATAATTTACAATGAAATTAAAGCGCTGAATGGTTAAGGAAGACACATGAGAATTAGAACAATCAAGAGGCAATTTTTTTTTTTTTGCCAAACAACATTTATCTCTTAACGATTCAGAGATTGTTTTTTAATAGAAGTATTAAAAGGTAAACTAACAACCTTAACTTTGTTGAATGTTAACAATAATAAGCATGAGTTTTGTGGTATATAAATATTTTATTTTTAATTGAAAATTGTCTTAAGACCTTTCTATTAAAAGTACTGAAGCAGACACTTGAAAATAAGACGGGAAAGCACCAGTCAAGCTCCAAAAATTCTGGAACATAAGTAAAAAGAACCCATTTTTTTTTTTACTTCCATGACAATATTAACCCCCCATCTTTGGATCCCCCACCAAATCTGACTTTCCAAGATGTTGGTCAAAATAGTCATTCATCTCTTATGAATGGATCTTGTAGATTATTTTTTTTATTATAAATTGGTTTTCTGGTCATTTTTTTATCTGATTTATCCATATATCACTAGTTCTGTAAGTGGCACCTTACTCAATTGCGGACTTAGCTAAAAAACAAAAAAAAAATACAAATTTAACTCGGGTTAGCAAGTGGTACCTCCTTAATTACGGACCTCGCTGTCGCACTTGCAGACCTGAGTAGAATCCGAATTTTTGTTTGACTTTTAGCTAGGTCCACAAGTGGAGGAGGTACCATTTGCGAATGTAGTGATATTTGGGTAAATCAGCGAGAGAAATGGCTAGGGGACCTCATGAGAGAGTTGGCTATTTCGGCCAATTTACCTTTTTTTTGGGTTTATGAATTTTGACTCTATATTCTAGACAAGAGGGGTGCTTAAACACCAGATCAATCCAACCTAATCTGACGTGAAATAATTTAATTCGAAGTAAACCGATGTTTAATCGAGTTATAAAATCCTCAAATCGTAGGTATTGGATTGATATTGAGTTACTTTTCTTTGAACTTAACCCAACCGGATGAATCCACTATTACTGTTGATCTCTATTAATATGTACATAAGACAATTACACTATCACACACTTTTTTCATATACATATATTTTCAATCTATTCTTCATCTCTATATAACTTCTTTGTATATATATTCATTAATTGTGAACACATACATACACACACATATATACACACACACACATATATAGGGGCCTAATCAAATGAGAACTACGTAGTTTGTGATAACTGTGAGATTCATTATGAACTACTTATTTGAGACATTTAAAAATATTTCTTAAACAAAGTAAAAGAGTAATTTAGTAATTTTATTTATAACAACTCGTCAAATGATTTAATTAATTATTTTTGAAGGAAACATTAATTAGTTTAATTACCTAATATTTTTAATTAATTATCTAATATATATTGTATTTTAAAGATGCTTGTGAAATAAAGTGTATCACATTGATAATGTTCACAATATATCACAACATGTATCACTCACTATATGTATCATAACGTGCATTTTCGTTATTTTTGTTGCTTTACAAGACTATCACATTGTGCGTTTTTGTTATTTTAGTTGTTTTATAAAGATATCACAATTTGCATCTTGTGTTCACATATGGTTCGTCTAAATAAGATTCGTTCAAATAAGGTTCGTCAGAGAGGATAAATGAGAGAGGAGATTTTTGTAATCCTTAAAATGTTCATAATTAATATTTTAAGTTACAATTACCAAAAATATTAATTTTCTAATTTAACCTTCGATTTGTGGTTGAAATTTGATCTTACAGTTATCATAAATTATTAAGTTTTCCCTTATATATATATATATATATGCAAATTAAGAAAATTAATATATATATATATATATATATATATATATGCAAATTAAGAAAATTGATATATATATATATATATGCAAATTGAGAAAATTAATATATATATATATATATATATATATATGTGTGTGTGTGTGTAAATTGAGAAAATTAATTGAATATGATATACTTAATATCTAAAAATATAGACAAGTTGTACCAAATGGTTAGTGATGAATTTTTTTAGAGTATACTAGAGAAAATAACATATACAAGGTTAAGAATACATTTTTTTGTACTAAAGTATCAACCGGACCAACCCATACGGTTTGGCTTACACTTTGATTTGGATTAGCTTCAATTGAGATTTTTCAAAATTGAAATATAATAAAATTGGTTTTAGAGAATGGTAAATAGGTCTAGATGCCTAAGACTTAACTTATATGATAAAGTAGTTGTGCCTCTTAATTAAATATGTTATAATAAGTTGATATTACTTTTTTGGACCTATAAAAAGTATTTTAAGATAATTTTGATATGTGAAATTATTTGAAAAATTTTTCTATAAAAATAAGTGTCTTATGAAAATATGTTTAATTAATAGAAAATTTTATATTAAAAGTCACAACAACAACATCGGGTTTATAGGACGGCAAAAAAATTTAAGCGTCCTACTATACTGTTTTATATGACTTAATTTATAATACAAAAAATAAAACGTTATATCTAAAAGCGTTGCAATAAGTTTATAAGACGTTTTTGAACGTATTAACAAGTATTTTATAATTAGTAAATATTATTAATTGTTCCTTAAAATAATTCATTTAATAAGTATTTTTGAATTTAAAGTGACGAATTTTTAATTGATTAGTTAATATTAAATTAAAATAACCATTATTATATATTTGTAAATTTTTGGTAAAAATATTTTATTTTGTTAAGTATTCATTATTGTACATACGTTTTAAGTTTCATTGATCAAAATTATTCACATGTTTGTTTATGTTTTTGAACAAACAAATAATTGCTTAAATGAAATTTACAATTTAAAAACACAAAATAAATAAATTAATCTAACAAAAATTAATAAATATGTATCATAGTTATAAAAATTAATCTAACAAAAACGTCCGCAAAAAGGCCGATATTTTGACGTCAAAATATAGAGGTCAAGTTTGATTTTTTTTTTTTCTAAACAACAACCAACAACATCATTAAGAGATAGCAAGTAGCTAGCAAAAAACAGCGGCACAAAACTTTGACATAATCGATACGGTAACATCTCTAAACAATCGAATTTTTTCTACTCCCCTTACACCTAGCTAAAACCCAACAAAACCATTTTTCCATAGTTTGATCTAGAATAGAATCTTTACGAGGGGTATGACTATAAAAAAAACATACCTATTTAAAAAAACACCACAAAACAAAGCAACTGGTAAAAAACACCGCTTTCGACGCCTTCCTGAGCGAGCTATCGCCGAAAGAAGATTTGATGCCATTGATCATCGACTCCAGCGATCTGTATGCTGGAAATGAAAAAGGACCACCATCTCTCAATGAACCTCAAACTTTAGAAGAGACAAAACACTCAAACAACAGGTGCTGAATAGTTTCAATATCAGAACCACAGAGCGGATATTGGACAAAATCAAGATCCACATTCAACTTAATTAAGTTGTCAAGGATGGACAGTTGTCTAACATAATCCGTCAAATAAAAATGTTAACTCTAGAAGGAATCATCCACTTCCATAACGTCTACCTGTCACCGACACCAATAAAGCTTTCTTAACAATGAAAAGCAAAGAGCTAACAGAAAAAGGGCCATTTAATTTAAAGACCAAATCCATCTGTTAAAATTATCAGACCATGAACACTCCCCGTTGACCTCCCTCAATTGATCGAATTCTTCAAACTCTCTACCACCTCGGATGGGTCTACATCAAAACCAAGAATTATCTCCAACCTTAATTCTGTCAGCAACAACCGCCAACTTCTCGTTTTCTAAAGGGAAGAATGTTGGAAAACGGGAAGAAAAAAGAGTTGGGCCCTTCCACGAATCAGTCCGAAAACAAAGTATTTGATCCATTTTCAACCTGTTTTAAACACAAATCATCAAAATTAATGTGCAGCAGCCCTAACAATTTCACAGCAGAGACAATACTACCCCATGGGATGTAGCTACTTGAAATATCATGATATGAGGTTAAGCCACCTCTTTCACCATAAATTGATTTAATTAACTTCACCCTGGAGGAATTATATGTAATATATATATATATATATATATATATATATATAT